ACAGATCAAATAATTAATATCTTGGTATACTGAATGAATTAAAGAGAGAGCATAATCATTGTCATATATGTTTCTAATTTCGCTAGAAAACATTTTATTCATCTATTTACTTACTAAAAGTATATTTTATTTTGGAGCCATAGATTTCTCCTTTATGCAAGGAAACCAGCGATTTCCATTTATCAACGTTGATGGCGTTCGCTATTCTGGAAGGTTCAATACAGAAGCCACTTCTAGATCCATATCCCTTGGTATTGGTGTAATCACCGGTGTAAAACTGAAAAGATGGCTCAGTAGTAGAAAAGACAACCTTCAAGTTCAGAACTTCAGCTTCAAATACATCTTTTAAGGCAAGATTTCTCGTATCGAGCTTATTATTGTTCTCATTTACAATAAAGCAGTAATCGAAAATGTCATCCTCTGTCAAAACAATACCTTTTGACAAATCTTTATCACATTCAACGATTTGAGAAGTAGGAACTTTTGCATCTCTATCTAACATCAAGTGACGATTAGTTACAGACTTAACTTTGGTTCCATCTATGGTATCCCTTCCAGATAAGTTGAAATAAGTATGGTTAGTTAAGTTTATTGGTGTTATAGACGCCAACGAGTCATCTACTAAGCGAGATTCATATTCAATTCCAAGAGAATCGGAGGACACCTCATATTTGACGGTCGTCTCCAAATTACCTGGAAAGCCATCATTTCCATCTTTGTCGATAAGAATAAATTGTAAGGTAACTGAATCCTTCTTTTGCTTCACGACTGGCCCCAAAAAATATTGCTTATTAAAACCATTGTAACCTGAGTGTAGTGTGTTGTCACCCTCATTCTTGGATGTCAGATACTCTGTACCATTTATTGTAAAAGTTCCGTCAATAATCCTGTTTGCATAGCGACCAACAGTCGCACCAAATAAAGGGTTGGATTCATCTTTGTAATCCTCGCTCTCGGTGAAGTTATTTATCAACGATTGATTCTCGAAAGCAATATCTTGAACAAGGGATCCATAATTAGCGATGGAAACACCCAACTTGCCGATCTTAACGGTGTGTAATCGATTTTCATAATCGTTGAACGGCATCCAATCATAACCCTTTATCAGATACCCAAATGGATTTTCAGTGGTCCATTTCCATAAGTCTCTGCATGCATCTTCGATTGTGAATTGCGGCTTCCATCTTAACTCTTTATTAGCCCTCCTAGGATCAGCTGTCAAATTTAGGACATCTCCAGCTCGCCTCCCAACAATCTCATAAGGTAGCTGCCGTCCAACTGCCTTGCAGAAAGCATGATAAACGTCGAATACCGTTGAACCTTTTCCTGTTCCTAAATTCCATTCTCTGAAAAGTCCAGTACCACTCTCCAAAGATGATAAATAGTTTAAAGCCGAAATATGCCCTTCAGCCAAATCTACAACGTGAATATAGTCTCTGATAGGTGTGCCATCATGACTATCATAATCATTACCAAAGATTGAAAGCTTCTCTCTCCTACCAATGGCAACTTGAGCCAAATATGGTAACAAGTTATTAGGTATTCCTAGGGGATCCTCGCCAATTAATCCAGTTGGATGGGCTCCAATAGGATTAAAGTACCTCAATATTGCACATCTCCACCCACTTTCGCTACTATGTATATCCTTCAATATATTTTCAATAATATACTTAGTTTTACCATAAGGATTCGTTGGATCATTAGGACAATGCTCGGGAATTGGAATCATATTCTCAAATCGTGTCGCGTCACCATAAACGGTAGCTGAAGAACTAAAAACTATAGTCTTAACAGAGTTTTCATGCATAACCTTGAGTAAGTTAAGTGTTCCATGAACGTTGTTATCATAGTAAGTTAATGGAATTTTTGTCGACTCACCTACAGCCTTCAATGCAGCAAAATGAATCACACCTCTAATTTTGTACTTCTTGAAGACTTCGGTCATGCCTTCATAATCCCTTATATCAACCTTGTGAAATGAGATAGACTTTTTGACAATAAATTCAACCCTAGCAACAGCATCATAACTGGAATTAACAAGGTTATCAACTATAACCACGTTGTAGCCATGGTTGATTAATTCGACCACAGTATGAGAGCCGATATAACCAGCGCCACCAGTAACAAGTATATAATCAGACTTCGACATCTCCATTTGACTTTTTCTTTTACTAAAATTAACACAGAAAATTTGCTATGAAACAGCGTCTTGTTTTTGGTACCTTTTAAATAGCATTTATTCAAAAAGTTCTAAATGACCTAGATGTAACGTTACATTTAAAATATGTTATAAATTTCAGACCCGGTCATGTAGGTTTTTAATTATTTCCTCGCAATAAAAACCGAGTTTCCCCAAGAAATAATTTCAAATATAATAGAGAAGTTTTTAAGATTTGAATCAGGTAAAGTAGGCAAAGATATATCTCTTAACTAGTTGGAGAAGATGATGACTGTATTGTCAAAAGTATTATTTACAGGCTGGGATATTTAATGTGACTTAAAAATACCTAACTCTCGTTTACGACCCTTAAAACCGGTTACGTCATTTTATGATGAGATATTCCGGAGACAAATGTAACGTTACATTACTACTTGAGTATTTATATAAAAGGTCGATCTCTTTGCCTAGATATCCTACTAAATTATATAAAGGTTTTTTTCTAGTTTGTAAGAAATGTCAGATCTAGTTCCGCATTATGAAACAATTACAGCAGCACCAGTTCCTGTTGACGAGGCTCGCTATGAAAGGTTAGTTAAAGAGTTCATTAGTAATTTTAAAGAGGAGCCGACTTTTTTCAGTAGATCTCCTGGTAGAGTTAATTTGATGGGTGATCATATTGACTATTGCTATTTCTCTGTTTTGCCTATGGCGATAGAGGCAGATGTCGTCGTTGCTGTTGGCGTGAATGACTCTCTTGAAATTAACTTGACCAACACTGATCCTAAATTTTCAACAGAGACTATTATTTTGGCTACGGATGGTAAGATAATTTCTATCGACAAGGAAAGATTTTCTTGGGCTAGTTACTTTAGATGTGCTATGATAGTGGCTCATAATTTTATTTTGGAAAACTATCCTGAAATAATCTCAGGTGGAACTAAACCTTTAAAAGGAATGAATATGACGTTTGATGGGACTGTTCCCACAGGTGGTGGTTTATCATCTTCCGCTGCATTCTGTGTCGCATCTACACTTGCCGTATTACGTGCAAATGGTATCGAAAAGATTAGCAAGAAAGATTTAACTCGAATAACCGTCGTTTCAGAACATTACGTTGGAGTAAATACAGGGGGAATGGACCAATGTGCGTCCATATATGGTGAAAAATCCAAGGCACTTTTGATTCAATTCAAACCTGAGTTGAAAGGTATTCCTTTCGAATTTCCACATATCGAACCTAATGAAATTGTCTTTTTGATCTCTAACAGTTTATTACAGGCCAATAAACATGAAACAGCTCCTACAAATTATAATTTGAGAGTGGTAGAAGTTGCTGTTGCTGCAGAAGTCTTAGCGAAGAAATACAATTTAAAACTCGCTCAAGATTCCAACTTAGGAACAGGAACTTTGAGAGGCTTTATGGATACCTATTTCACCAGGCATCTCCATGAAGAACCTTGGGATGGTGTAAATATAAACGTTGGTATTAATCGTTTGACAAGGTTGTTAGATTTAATTGAAAATGATTATTCTGAAATGGAGAAGAACGGATTTACCACAGAAGAGGCAGCAGCTCGATTGGAAATGAGCCAAGAAGAATTTGAATTAAAATTTTTGTCTAAGTTTCCGGTAAAATACACCGTCTTAAAGCTCTATTTGAGATCCAAACATGTATTCTCAGATGCACTTAGAGTATTACAAACGCTCAAAATTATCCGTAATTTTAATGGCGATACTCAAGGGTTCTTAAATTCTTTTGGCTCACTTATGGATGAATCCCAAATTTCGTGTAATATTAATAATAACTCTTCCACACCAGAGTTGGAGAAGTTATGCAAAATAGCTAGGAATAATGGAGCTATAGGGTCACGTATCACTGGAGCAGGGTTCGGAGGTTCACTAGTACACCTTACAACGACAGATAAATTAGCAAAGCTCAAGAGTTCCCTTATCACGGAATATTATCAAAATCAAATACCAGGTATTACACAGAAAGAACTAGATGAAGCAATTGTTGTGAGCAGGCCTGCAGCTGGAACATGTACCATTGCATCCAATGATTTTCTATAGCTGAGTAGTAATATGCTTCATACTATAATGACCAAAAGTTTGTATTTCTTTCAATCTCATAGGCACAGCAATAAAGTCTGTAAATGTTTCTGGGCGTGTGACGATCCATTTTTCTTGGTTTCAAGATTAACCTGGGGTCACATATTATTATGTGTGGAGCACGACTCCGGAACGACTAGGAAGTTTTCTTTACCGGAAATACTCCACATAAGAAGTGCATTAAATATGACACAAGAAAAAAAACGACAAAGTTTTTCCAGGATTTACCCGATAATCCTTCATTTTTGCTAAGAAAATACATTGCCCGTTCTTTTCTAAAACTAATCCCGGTGTAGGCTTGCATAGACTTTTTTGAGAGTTGTAGTAGTTCTCCCAAATTAAACTTTAATTTTATTCTTAGATCAACAGGCATAGCTCATGTTCTGATGATCTAGCACTATATGATTTCATTTCCTTTTGAGCACAATCATACCTAGGCCGATATCTGATATTAACATATGAGAGTTATACGGGGGGAGCTTTCCATGGGGGCGGCGGCTCGTTGCTCGGTATGCACCTGGCGCGATCGATGCAGCGAGTTTATCAATTCTCCGGGAAGAACAATAGGTGACCTGAGCCACAAGACAAGTCGTTCGGCTGGAACATTTCTCCGCGTTTTTGTTAACACTTTTTCGGCCATATATTTCTTTTAGGTGCCGATTCTAACAAAAATGCCGGAAAATCCCCCATAGACGGGAAGCAGAGTGACGTATAAGTGGGGTTGATAATGGACAGTTCTGCATATACGTGATATACGGTCAATAACTGCGGCGCAAAAACAAGATAAGTCGGAATACGTTTACCAAATCTGTCAGAAATAGTTACCTGGCACGCACCCCACATACTGGTGCATGTAAAGTGGTTAGCATCACGGAAACCCAAAGAAGATATCCATAGTAAGATTGTTGAATTCTAGTATCCAAACCATCATCCCGCACTTTCAGCAATAATATAAAAAGCCTTGTCTCTCTGTGTTCGATTATTATTCAGATATTTTTATTGTCAAGCTTTACAAAATAGATATTTTATAAGTACAGCGAAATACGCACAAACATTTTTTATATTATTTTGACATACTTTAGAAACCTTTGAACAAGATTTTTTTGTCAAGATGGCTTATGAAGATAAGTTGGTTGCGCCAGCTTTGAAATTAAGGAATTTCTTAGATAAAATTCCCAATATTCACAATGTGTACTTCATTGCTGCTATCTCATGTATATCGGGAATGATGTTCGGTTTTGATATTACGTCGATGTCGGCCTTTCTTGATACTGAACAATATTTGGACTTTTTCGATTCACCTAGCTCCGCAATGCAAGGTTTCATTACTGCATCTATGTCATTTGGTTCCTTCTGGGGTTCCTTGGCAAGTACTTTCGTTTCAGAGCCTTTTGGCAGGCGAGCATCTTTACTTTTATGTGCATGCTTTTGGATGATAGGTGCTGCCATACAATCATCAGTTCAGAATAGGGCACAATTGATTATTGGCCGTATGATTTCAGGTTTTGGTGTCGGTTTCGGTTCTTCAGTAGCGCCAGTTTATGGTTCAGAGTTGGCTCCAAGAAAGATCAGAGGTATGATAGGTGGATTCTTCCAATTTTCCGTTACATTAGGTATATTAATTATGTTTTTCATCTCCTATGGATTGCAGTTTATGAGAAACACAGCATCTTTTAGAATTGCATGGGCCATTCAAATAGTTCCAGGTTTATTCTTATTTCTTGGGTGTTTCATTATTCCCGAATCCCCAAGGTGGTTAGCGAAGCAAGGTTATTGGGAGGAAGCTGAGACAATTGTCGCAAATATCCAAGCAAAAGGTAACAGAGAAGATCCTGATGTTTTGATTGAAATTTCCGAAATTAAAGAACAAATTTTGGTAGATGAGAACATTAAGGCATTTACCTATGCTGATTTATTCAAGAAGAAGTACATTAAAAGAACATTTACCGCTGTTTCCGCTCAAATATGGCAACAGCTAACTGGTATGAATGTAATGATGTATTATATTACGCTCATTTTCAAAATGGCTGGGTACTCAGGGGATTCCAACTTACTTGCATCCGCTATTCAATATATTTTGAACACTGTTACGACTATTCCAGCTTTATACTTGATGGATAAAGTAGGTAGAAGGCCCGTGTTATTGACAGGTGCTGCTATGATGATGGCATGGCAATTTGCTGTAGCAGGTTTGTTAAGTACTTATGCCGAGGTGGACTCTGATGGTTCTATCCTGATTCCTAAAAGCGATAAGCCAGCTGCTAAGGGGGTTATTGCATGTTGCTACTTGTTTGTCGTTTCGTTTGCTTCTTCTTGGGGTGTATGTATATGGCTTTACTGTGCCGAAATTTGGGGCGATAATGCATCTCGTCAAAGAGGTGCAGCCCTTGCAACTGCAGCCAATTGGATATTCAACTTTGCCATTGCCATGTTTACACCATCTTCATTTGCTAATATTTCCTGGAAGACTTACTGCATCTACGCTACTTTCTGTGGTTGTATGTTTATTCACACTTACTTTGGATTCCTTGAGACCAAAGGTAAACGCTTGGAAGAAATCGACCAAATGTGGGTAGAAGGTGTCTTACCATGGAAGAGTGGATCTTGGACACCAAGAGTTCCATTATTATCAGATGCTGAATTAGGTGATAAATTGAGAGTCGAGCATCGTGAAGGTGGCGATGATGAAAAATTAATAGAATCTGCGCCATCTCATTCTACAGAAGAGAAGTAATGCTGATGTCGGACCATTTAATGTGCAGTCAGTACAAGTATTATATATCCTGTATGAAAAATTTAGTTCTCTATGATGAAATTAGATGAATATTACACTGTTTACTTAGAACTGAATTGTAATTTTAGATATATTTGGTGTCCACCTTGATAAATTTTTAAAAAAAGCCCCAAGTACCTACTTAGTTATAAAAGTTATCAAGAAAGCACCCTTTGTAAATTATTGTGTCGCCATTTTGAATCTAGTATAAAGTTCTGTAATCATACAGAGTCAATAGATAATTATTTACAATGATTAGAGAAAAGTATTTATTAAACACATTTATTCGTCATTTTAGGTAGTAGAAGATAGCGCCATCTTAGCTAACTTTAAAGCTCCTTCTTTCGTAGTTGCTCCTCCAATGAAGCCTGCAGCATGTACAAAGATACAGCCAGATATACCTGTCGTCTTTGAAAGCTCATCATCTCGAAGCCCTCTGATATTTTCAGGGAGCCCAAGCCTAAACTCAAACGATGTAGAGTTTATTGAAACTGTAGATACTCTCCAGCTACCGGTCGAGTCTGCAAACAAAACAAATTTTATTATCCCTTCTTTATTATAACTTTTTTCAACTGCGTAGAGATGTTCCTTCCAAGGGCAGAATTGTTTTAATACAAGAATTTCACCAGATTTATCGATCTCAAATCTATCTTTAAATGCTTCTTCCACGATTGATTTCGCGGGAAGCCAACCCTTTCCGTAACCTAACAAGACATTCATGAAAGCCGATCCCATCAATTCGCTGCTTTTCAAAAACTGTGAATCATAAGCCGATGCTGACAGGTCTTCGTTCCACAACGGATTCAATTTAGATACCATGGCAGGTAATGTGATATTTCTGTCATTGAATTTCTTACTTGATTCAGCTTCCATCAGATAGTTGTTGATTCCATTATCATTCGCATCCAATGCTTCAATAAATTCCTTATATATTTTGATGTAAAGAAGTTCTATATCTTTTTGATTATCGGTTTTTAAAACCTCGCCGATTATATCTTTACCAAAATGTTTGTAAATAAGCCCCGCAGATGACAATTTAGTCTTAAAATCGGAGGAAAACGTCTCGCTGAATTCCCTTTGGTGATGATCAAAAAACTTCTTACCATCGTACTTGGCCCCTACGTCAATAACAATGTCACTGGCCTCCCAGTCTTCCGATTTCCTAGATCTTATAAGTTGGCTGTCCTTGAACTTTGGCAAGAGCTTAACAAGGTAGACAGCTAATGATTCATCAGCATGAAAGGAGCCAGAGTGTGTACAAATCTTAAACATCAGCAGGTCTAACTTAATTTTCTTATTATCCATTCCAAGTATAGTATTTGAAAGGCAAGATTTTACTATTACCAAAAAAACTCATCCGCTAAAATTTTGAAACAAAGATGAGTTGAAGCGCATAGACTAAAACGGCAAGTACCGTAGACGTAAATTTTAAGCTAAGTGTAACGCTTATTTTATCACTTTTAGAATATATTTGAACAGTTTGGAAGACGAGGATTACAGCAAAGATATGAGCTATTCTATTTTATTATCAATCATATTGTAGACCGTAAATTGATTCTCCGCTAGCTTTTTTTTCGCTTTTGAATTATTACTAGAGTATTACAGGAAAACAGAAAAGATATATGTTCAAGCCTTATATGAGAAGGAATGTGAAAGCTTCTATTTTTAAACAACAACATTTAATAAGTTTTAGAACTTTTGCGATAGAATGACAGTAAATAATCTATATAAAAGTGGTCCACAGCTTGGGATAAAGCTCTTTGACACGTTATCTGATGTATGGCATATAATTTCGAATGATAGGATTAGGAAAGTTGTAGCGGTTAAGTAGATCACTTTCGGGTTCTAGTGATTGATAGCTTAAATACTTAAGGATAATAATTCGCCAATCCCTAGTAATCACTACGCAAATATTTAACAGAAAATTACATTCATATTGCACGCTGGAAGACATGGTTAGTTTTCAAGATTTCCTTACGACTGAGTCATTTGAAGGCTTTGAAGATGCAGCTAAATTTGAAACCTGGAAACCAGATATCGAAAGTTATAGGAGAAAATTAGCGGAAGGCTTGCCGTCCGAATATAAAATCGATCTCCCTAAACCTGTCGATAAGTTAATCGAAGAAAAATTTAATGCTATTGAGTATTTGAAAGCTCAAAACGTTTACACAAAGGAGGAATCGGATATCGTCAAGCTTCCTGTTGCAGATCTCCTTTCTAAGATTGCAAACGGTGATTTAAAGTCAGTTGACGTGCTCAAGGCCTTTGCTAGAAGAGCAGTAATTGCCCACCAATTTACCAATTGCTTAGCTGATATTTTCATTGATGAAGGTATTAAAAGGGCGGAATATCTTGATGAATACTTGGCGAAAAATGGTAAGACCATTGGTCCCTTCCATGGCCTTCCTATTTCATTGAAAGAACACCTCAATTACAAGGGAAGAATCACTCATGCTAGTTATGTATCAATGTTGAGAAACATTCCTGAATCTCATGGAAAAACTACCCAAATCCTCGAAGACTTAGGTGCTGTGTTCTACGTGAGAACTACTACTCCTCAGACTTTAATGCATTTAGATTCAAATAATAATATTACGGGGCTTACAAGAAACCCTTTCAACCTTTCTTTGTCCTCTGGTGGTTCTTCTTCAGGAGAAGGCGCTTTGATCCCATTTGACGGCTCTCCAATTGGAATTGGTTCTGATATTGGTGGCTCAATCAGGGCTCCAGCTGCGTTTTGTGATTTATATGGCTTAAAACCTACTACGCTTCGTGTTACAGGCTCAGGTGGTGTATCAGGAGCAGCTGGTAATGAAAGCGTTGTTGGAACTTTGGGTCCTATGACGAGACGTATTGATGATCTTGATTTATGGTATCAAATTTACATCAACGAAGGTAAACCATGGGAAAGGGATTGTAATACAATATTCGCTCCTTGGAGAAAAGTCGAAACTCCCAAGCCTTCATCTTTGAAAATTGCTGTTATGTACGATGATGGAGTAATTAAACCCACTCCACCAATAAGAAGAGGACTTGACCATGTTGTATCAAAGTTGAAGGAAGCAGGTGTTGAAATAGTGAGTTTCGACCCCATTAAGGTTCAGGAGGCTTATGACACTGTAAATAAATTTTATAGTGGTGATGGAAACCAGACCCAAAAGAATTTCTTATCGGCATCCGGCGAGCCACTTGTGAAACTTACGAAATGGAACCTCAATTTCGGAAATGGCTCTAAAGGATTAACAGTCTTCGAAGAGCGCCAATTAAATAAATTTAAAACGGAGCTCAAGACTGAATACCATGACTATTTGGATAAGAATGGAATTGACTTTATTTTGGGCCCTGTTTTCTACAACACCGCCCCACCCTCAGAGACTTCTTACAGTTGGTCCTATACTTGCTTGTACAACTTCTTAGATTTACCCGCGCTTTCGTTTAAACTGGGTCTTTTTGTTGATACGAAAATTGATAAGTGGCCTTCAGAGCACACTAATTATAAATATAGAAGCCCGCTTGAAGAGCTTTCAATTTCTGACTATGATCCGGATCTCGTCAAAGGTGCCCCAATCGGATTGCAATTAGCAGGTAGAAGGTTTAGAGATGAGGAGGTTGTAGCTGCCGGAAAGGCCATTGCTAAAATTTTATCATTAGAGTAGTTAGAATAACTTAATTAAATCTATTTGAGTTTTGTGAATCAGAACGTAATTAATTTCTCTAAAATACAGGAATATCGCAAGTATTTTCGAGTTGTATGAAATTGTATTTAAAGATTACTACTAGATCGTGGTATTATAATGCTGGCTTTAGAAGATGATATTGATGACTTTGACACATACTCAGATGACGACAACTTTGATGAAGATAAACTAGACAATGAAGAGTATTCAAAGCTATATGATTCACTTCCAAAATTGAAAATGGCAATCTCATCATACAATGATGAGATTCCAGAAATAGATTTGAAAGAAGCTCTATATTACAATTATTATAAGCTAGATGAAACCATTGAGGAACTAAAATCTAAGTTTCCAAAGAAAAGTAAGTATTCATACATATTTGGATTCAGTTTTTTCCTTGTTTCGTTGTCAAATATGATTAACTTAGTTAATTCAAGTTTGCGAAAACGTAATTATAAAGAGTTTAACAAGAGTTCTAGGATTCTAATACGCTCTTTTTCATAGTCTCAAGTAATCAAAAGCTGAAGAAACTTAGCACAAATGGTGGAAGTAAATCAAAGTTATTGAAGCTTGCAGAATCAAGATCAAAATTTAAAAACGAGGAACGTGTTACTCCGGCTACTAATCCGATATCAACGTTATCTAGTCGAGGTTTCCCCAGGGATGAGAAGGTGAAGTATGAAAGTTCCAACAATCTGATGGCGATTCTTGATCGTTTAAGGACTACAAAAGCCCCAAAGGAGACGGTTATACATCCTATTAAAAATTCTAAAAACTATCCAGCAATAGCACGTCTACGAAATAAGGAAGTTTCAGTTACCGGAAACATACAAGAAGATGAAGCTAAATCGAATATAGAACTTGAGTCTTCTGAGCCAACATTAAATATGGATTTAGCATTTAGCAATTCACTTTTGTTATCAGCTCCTCAGTCATCTATTTCCTTAATCTTATTTCAAAGAAATCAAAATGATAGAGTAGTTGATGCACACTCACTGGATAGTAGGAAAAGACGAAAGAAGAATCCGGATTTCTTTCATGTGATTACTAACATAGACATCAATATAGAAACTTTGAAAAATGCTGAGAAGAACTTCAAACATCCGAGCCCAGATGATCTTGTCCACGAAGCACAAAATAAAGCTTTTGAATCTGACATGAAAGATCTCAAGATAGCTGATTCAGTAGCCCCAGAAAAGATAGACAGGGTCGCACCTAGAAGAACTAAACCCTTCAAAAAAATTAACATTGCGGAAGAATTGGCTTCTAACAAGTTGTACAGCAAGCCACATATATCTTTTGTGGTCATGGGGCATGTTGATGCTGGGAAGTCAACCTTACTTGGCAGAATTCTTTTCGATCTCAAAGTAGTGGATGCTAAGACCGTAAACAAGCTAGTGAGAGAGTCAGAAAAGTCCGGTAAAGGCTCTTTCGCGCTTGCCTGGATAATGGATCAAACCAGTGATGAACGTACCCGTGGTGTTACTGTTGATATATGTGCTACCACATTTGAGACTAACAAGGTTAAATTTACGGCAATTGATGCACCTGGGCATAGGGATTTTGTCCCTCAGACGATTGGTGGTGTTTCGCAAGCTGATTTGGCACTACTAGTGGTAGACTCGATCAATGGAGAGTTCGAAGCAGGTTTCAATATGGATGGTCAAACAAAAGAACATACTATTTTGGCCAGAAGCTTAGGATTGAGCCGTATTTGTGTTGCTGTTAATAAGATGGATAAAGAAAATTGGTCAGAAAAGAGATATAACGAAATAAAAAGTCACCTTACGGAATTTTTGACTAGTGAAGAGATCGGATATCAGCTAAGTCAAATAGAGTTTATTCCTATTTCAGGGCTATCAGGCGTTAATGTTATAAGCAACAGCAAACTGAATAAAGAATTTAACTGGTATCATGGTCCAACATTAATAGAATATCTCGAGAACCTTGAACTTCCTCTCAAGGAATTCAACGACAGAAGAGTTCAAGAAATTATTAAAGAAGAATTCATATTAATGATTATTGATGTGATTGAGATATCAAATTCGGAATTCGAAGTAGCTGGCAAAATATTGAGTGGACATATTCAGCCTGGCGAAACAGTTGTTATCCACCCATTCTTACAGTATTTACAAATTCAAGCAATAAAAATTGAAGATTCTGCCGTTGAAGTCGCGATAATTGACGACCGTGTATCACTACGTTTTAAGAAGGATCTGCTCAGCATTGGGTTGCATGAAGTAAAAGCAGGTGATATTGTTACTTGTTTGGAGTCATCTATCAAAGTATGTCACAAGTTCATATGCTCGTTATATTTATTCAATATGCCTAAACCTTTATTGGTTGGTACTCCCTTTATCTTGTTTAGAGGAAGTAGTTATCAACCTGCAAGAATATCAAGAATTATAGAGGTGAAGGGTTCTAACAAAAAGAAAAGAATGCACTTATCGTCCAACCAGTTTGCAGTTGTGGAAATCGAACTACAGGGACAACGACCTTTAGTGCTAGCTAATTATCTGGAGAATAAGATATTAGGTAGAATTGTCATTAGGAGAGAAGGTGTTACTGTCGGTGCGGGGAAGGTAACGGAACTTGATTCTATCTAATTTACCAGGATATGTAGTCGACAAATAATATTAAAAACCCAAGTAATGTTATTATTGTAATTAAAAAGTTAGCTCCCTTTTTGTTTCTCTTTGTCGCTTTATTCAAAGACCTATTACCCTCTTGTACATCAACTTCTATTCTTGACTGATTTTCAAGTAAATTAGAAACTTGATCACCTTGAGCTTCTAATTGAAACGTAAGCTCTGTCTGTAAATTAATTATATCTACCATTGAAGTATGCAATTTCTCAACTTGTTTAAGTTGATTAGTTTTCATTTTCAAAAAATCTTTATTTTCCGTTTCAAGCTCTGAAATTTGTTCTTGAGTCAACATCTGTGCTTGCAGTTCCTCCTCTAAAGGTACATCCATTTGATCGTCAAAATTATCAAAGTTCAGCAGATCCCCCATGATATCTTCGTCGTCTTCAAAATTCTGGAAATTTAATAAATTAATTTGCTTTTCTCTTTGTAATCTATTCCTTTGGATAGTATCAAAGCTTTTACTGACATTTTTAATAGTAGAAGCAAGAAACCTCAAGATGTTTGTTCTGTAGGTACCAATTGCTGCTTCAAATAATTCTTGCTCTGTAAGTTGATCATTAAAAACATTGCTAAACCATCCCTTCTGAACATTACTATTCGAGTTTATCGTTTCCCTCTTTGTCTCATAAGTTTGCAATAGTTTTAACTTTTCGAACATCTGTTGAACTTTAAAATTGAACTCTTGATCAATCTGATTCTTTTGTTCTAATGTAAGTACAGTCAGGGATTTTTGCAAGTCAATTGAGCTATCCAATGATAGATACGGTGCCTTGATAGCTTCTATGAAGGAGTTTAAATCAACTGCTGCATTATAAAATTCATTACATTCTTTCATGAAGGTATCTCTGATAACGAGTGGAGCAATTTTCTTCTCCTGACGGGAGTCATTTTTGTTAGCAGTTTCATTTTTCGATTCATCGAAATCATTCTGAATTATCTGCACACATTGATTGAAGAACTGTGTCAAATCGGCCATATTTTCATGTTGTAATACTAATAATGAGCTCTTTATTAAAAATCTTGATACATAAACTAATGATAATATGCAGTATATTTGTTGTACGTTAATATTAAAGTGGCCTAGCTCAGCAATAATAAACTATTGAACATATATAATCGCCTCTCCAACAGCACATTAAAGAAAAGATGATTAGCCGTTAAGGTATTCTAAGCATTTAGTGATCTCAACGCCATCCTTGTCACCCCTTGAATTCTTTGAAATCACCGTTTCAGATTCATATAGTATGTTCCATCTTCCAACGTAGGCTGCTCCATCAATGTTGGGAGTGTTTTGGTTAAAATTTCTCCTTTCTTCAGGCGATCCATTCACGTAGTTTACATAATCTGGTACACCTGGCTTAAAGATGTTATCTGCTGCAATAATGGTTCCTGGCGCAATCAAATTCAAAGACTCCATGAGACGAAAATCAGGTACATATAGGTCCTTCCAGTGATCGATGAATATAAAGTCGAAAGCGACATAGCCTTTCTTTTTATCCAAAAGGTTCTCACTGAAAGCAATTAATGATTCGCTTGCTTTACCTACAATTATTTCGACCTTTTGCGATAAGCCGGCTAAATCAATTAGTTTTCTAGCTATTCCCGCAAATACTGGGTTCACTTCAAAGCTATAATACCTGGCACCAGGAGCAGTCAAATGACTAGCAAATTGAATAGCAGAATATCCCAAATAGCATCCAAGTTCAACCATCAACTTTGGAGAGACCTCTTCTATTTTTTCATTCACAATCTTGGCCTTGTATGGGCCCACGTTCATGGATAAGCTAAGTTCATTGGTATAGCGATCAATAGTCTCCAAGACTTTCTCTGGTTTGCCTCTGATTTCATTTAAGTCCTCCTCTGGAAGACTAAAAATAGTATCTAGGAGTTTCTGCTCTTTCAGTTTTGAAGATTCTTCAGCACTCATGTTAAGGTATCTTTTCCGATGATATTTATCTTGCAATCGAATGGTAGTACTGTCATATATACCACTTTATACAATTAAATGGGAGTAGTTCTTTATATATATCTCTACTTACAATCTGGATTGCCTAGTCGGGCCGGCTGGCTCCGCACTTTACAGTATGGTTTATTCGCACAAGCCTTGTTATGGCCACACTTTTCTTTAATCAATTGTATGGGGTAGACCTGCCATGATACAACTTTTATAAATGATTAAACTTAGAATTTTTTATGCTTTTGGAGAAAATGATATTTAATATTGACGACTAGATTTTCGTTGAATAAACATGAGTTTAAACATCAACTGGTAACTACTCCATGATGTGCGTGGAACATCTGGCTCTCCTTAGCATTGGCAATGTCGGAAAATGTCTGACTGAAGAATGGATACGACATATTACACGCACTAAATTGCGTGTTTGATGCTATTCTTTAACAATTCCCAGAGTAGTGACAATATTCAGAGATATGCTGAACAAGGGGACAAATAATGTCTCCATGGATAATGAAGCTAGAAGAAGTAGGATCGAGAGACTTAATCAGTTAAAAAATCGACGTCGTGAAAGCGAGAGGCTCAATAGAAGAGAAGTCGTGAGGGCAAACGAGGCTCGAAAGACTGGGATAAAGAGAACTTCCAGCTCAGTTCAAGATAACGATGCAGAAGTTGATGTTACGAATGATGAAGATGATGAATGCAAAAAGTTACTTAATTATACTATTGATGATTGTGATAAATGGTCAAAAAAACGAGCAGCGATCAAACAGAATAAACAGAATGATGGCTACCAAAGCTATAGTCAACTAGCTGAGTACTCCTACAATAAAGAAATAACAAGAGTAGTGGTGGACAAGGATGAGTATGAACGCCAGAAAGAAACACAAAGCAAACTTCAAATCAAAGGTATCGTTAACCCCTCGAAGATTACTGATATAAATAAACCAAGCAAAGAAACGATTTCAGCCGTTGTGAACTCTCTAACTGAAGCTAACCATCGGAAAATGTCAAAGAGAGAAACGAGAAGAATAAGCGACGCAAATGATTATATTAATGATAGAAATAGACAGTTCAATCTTAAGCTTGATAGGCAATTTGACTGAGCTGGTATCAGTCTTGGTCTATAGAATTTACGAGATCATGGAACATATCTTTTCAGCTCTACAGCTTTCACTATAGTGAAGTAAATCTAGTTGCTATGTACTTTATTAATGATATATGTGTCACGTGCATTGACATACCCGGACTTAAACTTTTCTCGATTTTGCTCAATGAAAAATAAAAACGCAAGAGGTGTAAGATAAAATCACCATATCTACCATATCTATCTACACTATTATAATCAATTTATAATACTTTACCCGTCAGATTTGTAATATATCTGATAACTTAATAATAACTGTCGGGTCTTGGGTAGAGACTTAAACTCAAAAATCCCATTGATATCGTCGCATTGAACTGTTGGCTATAAAATGGCGAAAGAGGATATTGAAGAGCCTGAGATTAGAAATGATGCATCTGACAATGAAAATGCATCTGATGAAGAAGGCCAGGATCTTCTTGATTCTTCAGATGAAGAAGACGATGAAGAAGACGAAGATGAGATTCAGAAGGTTAGAGAAGGTTTTATAGTGGATGATGAGGATGAGGATTCTGCCAATAAAAATAAAAGAAGACGTAAAAAGAGAAAGAGAGAAAAAGAAAAATCAAGGAAAGATGAAGATGATGCATTAGATGAAGATGATATCGAGTTGCTTATGGAGAACTCTGGTGCAGGGCCACAAGATAGGTCCAAAGGCAAGTTCAAAAGGCTTAAAAGAGCACAAAGTGAAGGAGATAACGAAACAGCAGATTCTAATAAGAATGATAGAAGAATTGGCTTGACTGATATTTTTTCTGACGACGAGGGTCTCGACAATGAAGCTAAAGACAACGACACAACGTCTCGGACGGATGAGCACAACATTCTAGATGAATTCGAAGACTTTATTGAGGAAGATGAGTTTTCAGATGAGGATGAAGCAAGCAAGCAAAGAAGCGTTACTCAAAAACGAGAAAAAGCCAGAAGAGCTGGCCCTAAGTTGGATACATCGAAGTTGTCTAATGTAGACCGCGAAAGCTTGCAACAGTTATTTGAAGTATTTGGAAGCGGTGAGGAATACGAATGGGCTTTAGAAGCACAGGAGATGGAAGATGATGGAAATGCCGAAACAATGGAACCTAGTTCTTTGGATGAAGTTTTCGAACATTCGGAATTGAAGGAACGTATGTTAACTGAAGAAGATAATTTGATTCGCGTGATCGATATTCCTGAACGGTACCAAAAATATCGAGCCAGTTTAAATTATGTTGACTTGGAAGGAGAAGAATTAGCAAATGAACAGCAATGGATTGCTGATATCCTCTTTGCGGAAAAGCATGGTGAGTTTGATGGGTTCTTGGAAGTCCCTTTTAAGGACGCTGTTGCAAAAGTTGTAGAGTTTGTCTCGAAAGATGCCTATGAAGTACCTTTTATTTGGACTCATCGTAGAGATTTTCTCTTATATACTAGAGAAGAAACCACCGAAGATGGTACAGTTGCAAACTCTGTTCACAAACTCTTGTTTGAAGATGACTTATGGAGGATTGTCCATTTGGATATTGAGTATCATTCGATTTACCAGAAGAGGCGGAACACTGAAAACTTAGCCGATCTCTTGAACGTAGACGATGATCTCTTGAAAGATATTAGAACTGTAGATTCTATGGTTGCTATTCAGGACTTGCATGATTATATACAATTCACGTATTCTTCTGAGATTAGAGACTTGGCTAATGACACTACTACCAACGAAGATGATAATGAAATCAATAACAGAGCGAGAAAGCACTCGAAATTTGCTCTTTTTGAAAGAATCAAAGCTAATATCTTGTATGACGCTGTCAAGGCTCTTGGCATTACTGCGAAAGAATTTGGTGAAAATGTACAAGATCAAAGCTCCAAACAGTTCCAAGTACCATATAGAATCCATGCCACAGACGATCCTTTAGAATCCCCAGAAGATTTGATTGAAAAATTGGTTGAAGATGATGAAGCTTTATACAAGGATGAGAAAACTGCACGAGATGCAGTCAGGAAGACTTTTGCGGAAGAAATCTTTCATAACCCCAAAGTAAGACACGAAGTTCGGTCTACGTATAAAAGCTTTGCCTCGATTAGTGTTGCAGTTACCGAGAAAGGGAAAGCGAACATCGATAATCATAGTACCTATGCTGATATAAAGTATGCAATTAACCGTTCTCCAGCTGATTTGATTCGAAGTCCTGATGTCTTATTGAGGATGTTGAATGCGGAGGAGCAGGGTCTTTTGGTCGTCAAAATCGAGTCAAAAGACTATGAAAGCTGGTTTCAATGTATCTTTAATTGCTTAAAATCTGATGGTACATCTGAGCTCTCAGACAAGTGGAACAAGGAAAGAGAACTTATTTTGCGTCTCGCCCTCAAGAAGCTCACTGGAATGGTTGCACTTAACACCAAGGAAGACTTACGTCGAGAGTGTGAACGCTTGATTGCTGTCGAAGTACGTAGAAGATTTTCTGCTAGGGTTGATCAGGCTCCGTTTACACCCTTCGGTTATGATAAGGGAACCAAGCCAAATGTCTTGGCCTTGTCATTTGGTAAAGGCGATTTCGACAGTGCAGTAGTTGGTGCCTTTATAAGAGATAATGGCAAAATTGACGATTTTTTTAAATCTGAAAATAATCCTATCAGAGATCGCGAGAATGAAGAAAAATTTTCTGGTCAATTGAAGGAGTTTTTCGACAAGAGCCTTCTGTATCAAAAGCCAGATGTCATAGTGGTGTCTGGATATAATGCGCACTCTAAAAGGCTCTATGATACTGTAAGATCATTTGTTGAAAACAACGATGTTCGTGCAAATATCGAGGATTTACCTGATATATCCAATCCCCCTTTGGTCCAAGTTATATGGTGTCAAGATGAAACTGCTCGTCTATTTCAAAACTCTGAAAGGGCTAAAGTTGAACTTTCGGATAAACCCACTTTAGTCAAATATTGCGTCGGATTAGCGCGTTATGTTCAAAGCCCATTACTAGAGTATATCTCATTGAAAGATGATATACTGTCCTTGACTTTCTTTGAACATCAAAAACTTATACCGTTAGACACTTTCTTCGAATCGATTGAGTCAGTTTTTGTTGATATTGTTAACATGGTTGGAGTTGAAATTAACGAGGCCGTACGGGATCCATACATCGCTCAAGCTCTTCCTTTTGTCGCAGGATTGGGCCCACGTAAAGCTTCAGGATTAATAAGAAATATTAACACAAAATTGAGCTCTACGTTGCCCAACAGAAGCGACTTGATTGAGAACGAACTTACCACTGCAAACATATTTATTAATTGCTCTTCGTTTTTAAATATCTCTCACGATGACAGCTCTACCTCGACTGATTCATCGATCGAACTTCTAGATGCTACAAGGATACATCCTGAGGATTACGAGCTAGCCAAAAAGATGGCCGCAGATGCACTTGACCTAGATGAGGAGGATATGGTGCATGTGGAAGAACAAGGTGGTATTATATATCAATTGATGCAAGATGGTGTGAATAAAGTTGACGACTTGAATCTAACTGCTTATGGTAAAGAGCTAGAAACCAAATTTGGGAAGAAGAAGTACGCAACATTACAAAGCATTAAAGAAGAGCTTGTTAATAATTTTGAGGAATTGAGAAGGTCTTATCATTTATTAGATACATCTGAAATTTTCCAAATGTTGACCGGAGAAACAACTAAAACGTTTGCAAAGAACACTTTAGTGCCTGTCACTGTTAATAAAGTCGGTAAGAACTTCAGAGACTATCAAAACTCCAAAATTAGATTTGTCAAGGTTGTTACTACTTCTTTGATTCAAGGTAACATCGAGGAAAATTATATTCCTCAAGACATGGATATAGAGCAAGGACAAGTTCTACCTGCTGTAGTGTTGGAGGCGTATTATGATTCGTTCAGTGCTCTATTCAGCTTACTAGAAGAAGACATAAAGAGAGCTTCGGAACCTAAGTTCTTCAAGGGAGCCTCTAAGTGGGATTTTGAGGCTGAAGAGGCTGACAAAAGAAAAGAACTTGCTAAAGAGAAGGCTCAACTTGCGAAAACACGTAATATTCAACACCCCTTGTATCATAACTTTAATTACAAACAAGCGGAAGAATTTTTAGCACCGCAATCTGTTGGAGATTGTGTTATACGACCATCTTCCAAGGGGCCAAATTTCCTAACGATTACGTGGAAAGTCTCTAATAATTTGTTTCAACATCTATTGGTTGAAGAGGATAGCAGTGGCTTAGGAAAAGAATATGTTGTGGAAAACAAAAGATACTCAGATTTAGATCAATTGATATTTCAACATATTCAAGCTATTGCTAAGAGGGTCAACGAAATGACTCGCCATCCCAAGTTTAGAGAAGGGACGATAGCAGAAGTCAACGAGTGGCTCGAATCATATACTAAGGCCAACCCGAAGAATAGTGCCTACGTGTTTTGCTTCGACCATAAGGCTCCAGGAAGCTTTTTACTATTATTCAAAGTGAACGTGAATACGCCTGTAAGCACTTGGCATGTCAGAACAGAAGTCGATGGATACACATTAAAGGGCTTTTCTTATCCGACTATGCTTCGTTTATGTAACGGATTCAAGCAGACCTTTAAAAGCTACGTTTCCAATTCATCGAGGGCACCAAGAGTTCCTCAGAGTAGACCTCAAGCTAGTACTTATGGGGGCTACGGTTATTAAAAGTGAGGCATACGACTTGTTGAAATCTTTATATGTCATAGTCTAATTTAAAAGAAAAAGTTCAATGCATGATTTGTTTGTAGCCCATTCTTATCTTTGATCTGAAGCTATCGCCGTCGACATAGCATCCCATGAGCCACCTTCTGCCGCCATTATCATCCGAAAAATTTTCTCTAGAGTGCAAAATTCTTCTATTATCGAAAATGACGCATGATCCCTCTTTCATCTTCAACTTTAACTGATTGTTGGGATCATTCACAAAATCCTCGAATAATTTGAATCCCCTTAAAAAGTCTCCAAACAACTTATCGGTTTCATTATTTTTAGTTACAGCGAATTCAAATGGACCTTGGAAAGGAGGGGAATAATTAACTTCTTTGATAGTTGGTCCCAGTTCCAATAACTCTTCCACAATAAGCGGTCTAGAGAAATAGTAAAATTCGTTTGCATTTTCATAATGGTAAGTAATCGGGACACGCTTAAGCGCTTCGAACGCATGTTCATCAACTTCCTTCACATACTGTGCTGCGAGATAAGAATCACTGAATACATTTTCACCTCCCAAAGTTGAATTTTGAATAAAATGTAATAATTGAACTCCCGGCGGAGATTCGTAGTAAAGAAGATCCATATGTAAAGGTAAGAAAGTGGTAGTATTTGCAATATTTTTAGCTTCTGTTTCGTTTTTCACATCAAATAAGGTACCATAAAACGTCTTTTTGACATAGCCAAACATTTCAGCTAGCTTCGCTACGGGCCACTTTCTGTACTCATCTTCCTTTAACTCTTTTAGATCGTAAGACAATGGATCAGGTATATTATTTACAAACACTATGCCAAAGTCATTTAGTTTTTTCACAACTTGTTCATAGAAGCACTTCTGAACAAAATATTCACCGTAATCCACTTGCAACTTATCCAAATTCATCATTATAACACTCTTATTCCAATATTCTTTATCAAAAAACTTTCCTTCTCTTATAAGAGCTTCTTTGGAATATTTTCGAAGGAAAGACTCAGAGTACTTCGAAACATGGAGAGACCCGTTTTGTTTCCACTCGACTTGAAGTAACTTTTGGTTCAGTTGAGCATCCATCACAATGGAGGGGACACGATTTAACGACAAGCCGGGGGAAATCTGTGAGGTCGAGAAAAGCTTTTGTTTCGAATGTGGATCCACAGATGCCAGGCCCTGGCATGCATCTCTCAAGAAAACGTTTCGAAAATGAGTAGGTTCTTTTTCATCGAATTTGACTGAGATAAAATTCTCATCATAACCAAGGAGAGAAAATCCTGATTTACGGCTGAAAGGTCTTCTTATTAGTTTATGCACTGACGACGATAACGTAAAATATATGTGGCCCATTACTGTGCAACATAATATATGAAATATGGAGAAAAGGGAGAGGAAAAAAGAAAATTTGGGAATGTATAGGAATTGCTGGTGTGTAATGATACCCGCGAGATTCGAACTCGCGCCTCCGAAGAGACCAGGACCTTACCCTGGCGCCTTAGACCAACTCGGCCAGAGTACCCAATTCCCGACAATG